GTTGTTAATTAAAGACATGTGCATGTTGAAAGCAAAACCAAGTTTTCATATATTTTAAATAACGAATCTCGAAATGAAAAAAACAATGAAATAAACACTGAAAAACGTTTTTTCGAAAAGTACTGACCATACATATTTTGGTCTGGCTCGATTTTAGAATAACGATGAATGTACTTCCGTTGTCACAGTGAGAATACCCATGAAAAAAAATAGTAAATTTGTCATTTTTCGACATCCTGAGCGAAAACATACTTAATTAATAGAAGTGAACAGGTTTTTTTCGAAGGACGTGTATGATTCCTGTTTACCAAAAATCACAGTGCCCTTTTTTCTGATATTATTGTTTCCGTTTACCTTGGAATGGGGGTTGAGTTTTCAACTTTTCTCTCGGCTGTTAGCTTAGATGCGAAAAAAAAGTAAAGCCATTCCTATCATAGGAAGTATAAAAGGCCGTCGGCCTGCGATACAAATAATTGCATTAAGAAATAAAGCTACCAGAAGGTTATTTGTAACTTTTGGAGTGCTATGTGCAATAGCAGATGATCTCAGCTGGCTTATTTAATATCTGACTGGACAGATCATGAGTTATTATTCACAGCTAATGTCTCCTTTAAGATCATCGAAATTGATGTGATGCCAGGCCGAGGAGCCAGCGTCAACAAGTCTGACATGTGCAATTTGACCAATAAATTGCTCAATATCCCAAGTCGCACGGTTCATGGTCTCAGAGCAAGTACCTGTGACAGTTTTGACAACCTAAAATGTATAAAGAAAAATTTGTCGTAGACAGCACAATAGGTTGTATCAAAAAACCTTGACAAGGGTTGCAAAGCTTGTCATACTTACATCAAAAACATTTTACTTCTTTCCTAGCTGTCAAAGGACCGCACAGATGGCGTTAACATTGTGAGAAGGCCAAGTTGTTTCAACAGCGTGGAAAAGATGAAAGATTTTTGCTTTAGAACCTCATTCACACAGATTCTCGCTGGGTCAATTTTGTTTTTAAGTTAGAAGGAGACACTGGGACAGTAAAGTATCTTGTCCGAGACAAGTGGTTCGAATCTAACGTGCGATCCCTATTCCTCCCAAAAGGAGGAATAAGGATCAAACCATTTGTGCAAATTTGGAGCATATCGATAAAATCCGCTGATAATCTATTGCATCTGTATTCCCAAAGCTAAAAATCAGCCAACAAGTATCATGACATGTCATCTTATGAATGGTTCGTGAGGGCAAGGGAAGTGCACGATCGTCCATGGAATGGTAGCTAGTCCTGAAAACGACTATCTTCAGCACTTTTGAATAACGCTTCATTAACCTGAGAAAGCTATCAGAGGTATTTGAGAGGTATTTTCGCTTACCTGAATCCCGACAACTAGTTCTACTCGAACTATGTTAATGTCACAACCTCCACCGACAAGAAAGTCAACACTTTTTCCGTTGATCTTAAAGGACGGGGAAGTGAGATATCCCTGAGGAGCATCGTCTTGAGCGTGTCCCGCGGGTGTATCAATAGATGGACGATTTTCAAATGTTCCAATCCACCAGTTGCCCTGTTGGTTTGCAGACTCTCTCAAGCGCGCCGTAGGGTTATCGCCGTATGTCGGCTGATTATTAAAAGCTGTACCGCTCCTTATCCAGCCACCTATCCCATTTTCAAAGTCGAAATTGCAGGGTTTGGCTGAAAAAAAATCCAAATGTAGCGAACAAACACAAACATTAGGTACCCCCCTCACATCTACTTCACAACAAGTTTTATTTATACCAATCTCCAACTAAAAAACATATGGTGACAAAGCCTTTCAGAAAAGTTCCTCTTAAGTAATTTTAAAAGAAACTTTAAGATGTATCTTTCTAAACGGGCGTTTACTTTATGACTGTGGTGTAATCAGCTTTATTTTTTTTATTTTCTTAAATTGTAATCTCTTAAATCAGAACTTTGGAACTTAGGCGAAAAGTAAATCGTGATTATTATTAATATTATTATTATTATTATTATTATTATCATTATCACTATTATTATTATTATTATTATTATCATCATCATTGTTTCGTGCAGTGATCAAGCACTGGCACTTTGATCTACGAATACACGATGAAGCAAAGAATTTGCAAAAATCCCAGCTGATATTATTTCAGACCACAATTTATTGGCGCAAGAGCCCAGGCCAAGCTATGTCCCGCGACCATACGGGAAGCAACCAAAAGGTTTAAGTCGACTCATGACAGTCAAACATCCATTAACTCGCGCCAGGCTCTCGGCAAGCGGAGATGCGGAGAGCCTGAGACACTGAGTGCCTTAAACACGCTGAACATCGATGCACTCAGATATTTTGATTGCTAAGCTTATCTTTGAATCAGTCATAGCATTTAAAGATGAGACCAGACGTTTTCCGCGATTGCATTAACTCTAGCACCCTCTCTCCGATCCAAAACTTAAACCAACTGCAACTTGGTAAACTACGTTTCGGCTTTAAGTACCCACCGTCTTCTTGACGAATGTTACTTTCTAAATATTAGACAAATGTTAGATAGATTACTGGTAAAAATGAGTTGGGTAAAGGAACTGAATCACGACATACCAATAATTCTAAAGGCCCTCTAAGTAGCAATTTTTTGCCGCAACACTTTTCCCTTTGTATACTTTACTCTATTACATACTGCAATTCTGTTGCAATGCTACACAACAACTAATTGAAACAAAATTAAACCACGAGGTTGGTATACAGTATATTACAGTTATCACTTACAAAACCACATTACCCAAATTATATTAATCACTTAAGAGAGTTTCAATGGGGTGATGGCTTTTACGGCTAATAGTTTAACATTTGGTCAATTTACGGCTAACGGTTAATATCTTTCCATAGTGGTCACCAGAAACATTTTTACGGTTGATTTCATTTACGACTAATGGTTGAAATTTATAAGTTTTTGGCCGTTTTATGGCCGACGGTTCCTTACAGAGTACGACAATGGAATAATTACGCATACAATGCTATAAATAACTCAGAATATTTGCAAGATAAGGCATACTTACGAGTTTCACAGTACGTTCCATTGAAATATGACATACAAGTGCAGGAATAAGAATTCCCCAAATAGTCAGGAATACATGTTCCGTTATTCTGACAAGGCGAGCTCTCACATGGCGACTGTATCATTAAAAAAAATATTCAAACAGCCTCTTTGAAGTCTCGTTTCTCGTTTCCAAGCATAGAAATGAGAGGTAAATGATTAATTATTTATTCAGTTGTTAAACACAATTTTCAGCTCCATGATATGTTGTGTAACCAGAGAATGCATATATATCCAGTCAATGAAACGAAACTGTACGCCTGAATGCATCCACAAAGCCAAAGTTCCTTAAATAGAGCAATTTTTCATTAAAACCTTGGTTTCATTGAACAAAAAAATGGTTTGAGTCAATGGTCTTTGACCTTTGTGGGGAGTACTTCTCAGAATTCCTGGTGTGTCGCCCGAGTACATCCTGACCTTATCTAAGAGCAAAATATGCTCTCTACCTTTTAACCCTTTTTAGCATCAGATAAGGACATTGGCTTTGATGTCGATAGCATTGGCAAGATAAAAAGGAAAATTTATCCAAATGATAAATTTTAGCCACTTCTCTGTCTATTACTTATGTGGAACTTGAGAGGAAAAATAATTTTACGCACTCTCACTGTTCCTCGAAAGCTAACACGAAAGCATGAAAAGAACGTCGACTACACAAAACTAAACTGTTCTGAGCGACGCCTTATCGTGTTACTACTCACCATTGGGCTAAAATGATGGAAGCTAGAATTCGCTCGAAGTCTGTCTTTAGCTCTGTACATGTCTGTGGCCAACACCTCACATATATAGATGCCATTAGAGTCTGGAGATTTGGCTATGTTATATGACAAACACTTGGTATCCCCAATACAGCTGGATGAACAATCTAGATCATCTTTCAGAAAGTGCGACCTTGCAATTGTGACCAAGAGACTTTGGTTTTGATTTGATTTGAATTTTCCATATTTTGTTTTGTAATCTCGGTAAAGAGAGGTTTGCATGTGTGTCTTGGCCGTGATCGACAAATACAAGACGCCAAAGAAAATAAGGCACAAACGGAACACCATCGCAAAAGCTTATAAAATATGGTTAACTTTTCTGCCTTCTTGTCGAAGTTGGTCTCCACTAAGTTTCCGACTAATTGAATGAAACACATGTTATATTAATAACCATGCACTCAAAAGAGGTTAATTTTAATAAGGTGTCATCCCACCATTACGTCCGTTATCGAAAAGGTTTTCAGTTAAATTCAACAGGCGGTGAGGGTCTGCAATTGAATCTTGACTAATTAAAGAGCTAAAATTGAAATTGAAAATCAGTGAAAAGTAACTCTTATAGCCAGACATTTTCAAAACCCGATGTAAATAATGTAAGTCATCATTTAGTTTGTTTATTTTTGACAACCTGTTATACAAAACAATGAAATGGATGCTCTTCGCTATTATTAAGTTCTTACTCTGTCCAATAAGTTATCATAGAAAATGTCTCATGCTTACCAATAAATGTGAGAAAAATTCTAGACTTGGCCAGCGAGCTATTTCTTGCCTCAAGAAGCTAAATCAAATCATTGTTCCTCGAGCCAGCTCTCCTTTTAAAAATGAGACATGAGAAGGTGCTTATTTCTATTTATTTTTAAAATTATAATTACGCGCCATGAACCCAGACTTTATTAGAAAGATGCGATTCTTTATCATCGCTATACTTAAGTCCTTGACAAGAAACATAAAAGCGAAAGTTGTGATAACAGATCTTCTGAATCTTCTATTGAAAGAATGAAGATATGAAAAAAAAATGCCACTTGAAGTTATTCACAATCAACTGCAAGCGGTGTTTTTCACCGTTTTTAAATATTACTTTATATCTTTTAATGATTTGTTTTCCTTCTAGCTCGATATAAACTAATTAAGTCTTTCGGATTAACTAGTACAAGCGTCAAAGTATCCGCCCTCCACCCCTCCATGAATACTTAAAGTTAAAACAAAATAGTCCAAAAATGGTCTAATGGTCCAAGGGTCCATTGGTCCAGTCCATAGCTTATCTATACCGGATAGCATAATAAAAGTAAATTGTCATAACAAGGCAAAATAAATATAAATATACAAATATTCCGACAGTTTTAAAAGGACACAATATAGATAGGAAAAACTGTTATAATTGGTTAGTTTTACAACCTACAGTTAAAACAAGTCAAATTTTTCGAATAACGGCCTAAAATTTCGGCCAGTCCGAACAGGTCCACACGCTACGTAGATTGTTTTAATTTAGTGCATGGGCAGCGTAACATCCCTTTATTAAATACCTGGGTTTTTAAGTACTATAAACTGAGTTAATGATGTAAATTAGCCACCGTAAAAAGTTTAAAACCTGACTGTGCGTTAACGCTGAGCGTTAGCCCTTCGTCTACGAAGGGCTAACGCTCGAAACGTCCGCTTTTAATCTCTTTACGAAGGCAAGTTTACGTTCCTTGAAATGTTCAATCTTCTGCTGTAACTCTCTCTCGGTAAAGCTTCCTAAAGAGTCGGTCACTCCCAACAACAACAACAAATACTACTACTACTACTACTACTACTACTACATGACTGAGTTCTTATGGACATCCGCAAAATATTCTTTAACATTCCGGAAGCTTATAACACACCTATTTTGGTAGTATCACATCATGACTACGTGCTGTGAGGTCACGAACACAGTTCTCGTCCCCAGTTTCGTGAAACCCTTTTAAAGGGAAATTGACCGTATTTCGGCCGCATATAAAAACCAAATAATTTTTTAATTTTTTTTGCTATTTTCGGGTAATTATTAGTTTTTTATTATATATACCAAGGAAGGAAAGTACGCAAAAAAAGATTTGTTTCATGTACACTTTAAAACTGAGTTTTTCCCAATTCATGAGTATAGCCCCATTAACCTAAGTCTATATTTCGCGGGGTAAAATCAAGGAAAACTTCGGGGAGGTTGAAAGACTTGAGAGGACTTAGATAGGAATAGATGTACCCTTAATCTTAACTCTTTAGGAACACGTGAGGCGGATAGCCTCCATCATTTGTGTTGGTGTATGAGGTCTTCTTAGAAGGATCTGTACACTCAAAACATGACATAGATCCCTCCCACCACTCCATTCCCAAACAGTTCTCTGTGCACATCTCTTTGCACTCGTCTGCTGTTATTCCATTTGCAAGCCTGGTTGATCTTCCTGCTCCAGTACACCACTGAGGTGTAAAGTGAAGCCAACTAACCACATGACTTGGAACTGAAATTATAAAACATCAAATACTAAGTTAAAGGTGAGAGCCTGCCGGTCAGAAGTCACACTTTTAGGCCCCCCCCCCTCCCCAGGAGTAAAACTGGCAACGGCGACCTGTCTAAGAAACCTGACTAAATACCGGGGGGTAACCTGCTATAGACTAGCCTTCCATCCAGGGAGGAGACGTCCTCCAGTACTCCTGAGTTTTGTGAACGAGTCGGGAAATGTATCTCATTACTGGGAATAAACTCTATAAGTCCTACTTCACAGGCTGAGAACCTTGAGCGGACTGAGCATCAATACACTCGGAGATGAGACTGCTCATCCACTCCTTGAATTAGTTAAAGTAACTCCCAGTAGAAAGTCGAACGTAATTCATAATTGTATGTGTTAAGTTTCCTTTTTCCTAGGCTTTGTTAGCGACGATATTCTCTGTCTTCTTTTTAAATTTACCGTCATAAAGATCGTACCAATATTAGATAGATTAAATGTTGAAAAGTGGCTGGAAAAATGAACTGAATCAGACCATACTAGTAATTTTCATAACATTCTAAGTACCAATCCATACTTACGTGTTTCACAATGCTGTCCAGTGACATGTGATGGGCAATTGCAGGAATAAGAATTTCCTTCATAGTCAGGAATACATGTTCCGCTATTCTGACAGGGCGAGCTCTCACATGGCGACTGTATCATAAAAGAAAAAGATAAACATCTTCTTTTAAGTCATATTTTAGGATAAAAAGGTAAGTAAATAATTTTAAAATCGTTTACTTCTTTGTCGAGAAAAATTTCCATCTGTTGCATGCCCTTACAATGCGTATTTACTCAACTAATGCATCGAAACTTTCTTCTCGATACAGGCACGAATGCAAATGTACTACTAATTTTTTTTTTCTCTTCAAGGTTCTGATTATGAATTCATCATAACCTTGGTTGTGTAAAAAAGAAATGGTCTAAGTCCATAGTCCTTGACCTCATTGGGGAGCACTTCTCAGTATTCTGGGTTTGCCGCCTTGTTCTAGAGCAAAAGATACTTTTCATAAACTCTTTTACAGACCTGACGTCTGAAAATGGCTGTAAGGGCATTTTTTATGTAGCATTGGCTAGATCCGTTGGAAAATTCAGCTGAATTATATATTTGGCCATTTCTCTTTCTATTTTTTCGGTTTGGAATTGAAAGAAAAATTATTCTTACTTCATCATATTAAAAATATGCAATCATTTTCAGATCAAAACGGTTCAAAAACTAGGTCCTTTGGGGCAGCATTGCCTAAATATCTTATTTAGAGGAGTATTCCCTCCAATCATTCTTTATACGTATCTTGCTTTTCCATACCTCGTATTGTATTGAGGGTTTGACTGATAGTTCTCATCAAAGGTATAACATTCAACGCATACAACAGTGACAGAAAACATGAGAAAACGAATGATTACACTCAAAACTGAACCGATCTGAGCGACGCCTTAAAAAAAAACTACTCACCATGGGGCTAAAATGATGGAAGCTAGAATTCGCTTGAAGTCTGTCTTTAGCTCTGTACTTGTCCGTGGCCAGCACCTCGCATATATAGATGCCATTAGAGTCTGGAGATTTTGCTATATTATATGACAAACATTTGGAATCCCCAATACAGTGGAATGAACACTCCAATGCATCTTCCAGAAAGTGCGACTTTGTTAGTGTGACTAAGAGGCTTTGGTTTTGATTTGATTTGAATTTTCCATGTTTCGTTTTGTAATCTCGGTAAAGAGAACTTTGCACATGTGTCTTAGCAGTGATTGACAAACACAAGACGCTTAAGAAAACAAGAGGTATACAGTTAGCCATCGTAAGTCTTGATGAAATATGGTCAATCTTTCTGCTTTCTCGTCGAATCTGGTCGCTCACGGTGAATCAAATGGGACACCTGTTTTTTTTTTAAGAAGAAAAATTATCATGAGTTTATGTTTATCAAAATAACCACAGACTCAAAAGTTAATTAAAATGATTTGAGTAAGCAAACATATTTTCGGTTAAAATTGAATGGATAAGATGGTGAGATTCTGCACTTGAATCTTTCCCAATGAAAGAATTTAAATTGAAAATGTAAAGCAATTCTAACAGCTAGACATTTTCAAAAACCCGATTTGATGGTGCAAGTCAATATTTTTCTTTACTTTGTTATTGTTTGTAATAGGAGTGAGTTTAATTTTTTTTAGGCGCATATGAAACAAAACGCTGAATGAATACTCTTCGCTTTTGTTAAATTTTTACTCTGTCTGGTAAGTAATTATAAGGAGAATATCTCTTGTCCTATCAATATGTGGGAGAAAAAAGTAAACTCGGTGAGCTACTTCTTGTGTGTAGATGCTAAAATTAATCGTTGTTTCTCGAAATTGCTCTCCCTTTTAAATTGGGGCGTGAAAAAGATGCTTATTTCTGTTTATTTTGATTAGAAGTGTGGGCCGCATGAATCAATAAAGAAATGTGTTTAATTGGGATGCTTTTATTTTGTTGCACAAAAGTGCTTTCCCTCTTAAAAATGAGGCATGATAAAGATGCTTATTTCTCTTTACTTTAATAAAGTGCACGCCATGAAACCAGTCGACTCTATTAAGAAGACGCTGTTCTTTATCCTCTGTTTAATTAAATCCAAGAAGCTCCCAAGGGGAGGTTATGATAGCAGTTGGTCTAACTACTCAATTGAAACAATTCAGGTAAATCACTGTTGGTAAGATGTGGTAGATCATAGTGAAAAGTTGAAGAATTTTCACAAAAGCGCTCCTTTCTTGTGCGAGTTTAGCAGTGCGCAACGTGCTTGAGGTGGATAAAGTGGTGCTAAAGAGGCAAAAAAAAAAAGCCTCGAAATAGGTACAGGGGGCCAATATCATCTCTCTTCTACTAAAGCCATATGGTGAAAGTGGTTAATTCACAGTTATTTGAGTGAACCAAGATCAACGTGCACCCCTCTGATGATTTAAGGCCAAATCATTCTTTGGTTGATGATTTTTCAGTTTGCCCGCTACAATTCACCCGCGACTCATAAAAAAATAAAATAAAATTTTCAAAACACAGTTTTCAAAGTTTGTTCTAAACTCACATCTTCCGCATTGCTTACATATCTCTTACAAATGTTTCTTCGCTTTAACACGACGGCTTAATTATCTTCACTGAACCTTTCACGTGAGCCTTGAAGTCGTGCCATTGAAACACGTTCCCCACCCCTGTCAGGCACGACTGCGACATGCGTGCGATTTCTTGGTCAAGAATCACGTGATTCCAGATATTGACACCTGTCATTTCACCAATGAAACTTTGAAAGGATTGAAAGGATCCCCCCACTGAGTCTTGCTCTTGTCCTAGTACCAGGGCTCCTCCACCACGAATTACATGACCTGTCAAACCACAATCGAGAAAAAATATGGAACTTTGTACCATAACACTAAGTATAATGATTCAAGTTAGCTTTTATCTGACTGAGCAAAGAATTAAGACACATAAACACCAAGGGACGTTCTGGACAAACTTTCCTTTCGAGTTTACTAAATGAATATGAGAGATCAATGACAGTTCAAAATCAGTCATAGTTGTATGTCAAGCGTTCTGTTTGTTCCTTTGACTGAGCGGTCAGTCTTTGGGGAGAACTATGCATGGAAAAGTGAAAATATGGGCATACTTTCCTTCTAGTTAACTCAATCACAATAATTTACCATAGTATTAAGCACTGTATTACATGTTCAAGACTTGTTTTGTTTTGTAAATTTCACCTTCCTGATTTGGTTCTATGTTGAAATTGATAAATCTATGGCGAAAAAAACTGAAAAACTCCTCCTATCATGATTGATACACTCAAATATCGTCAATTATTCGTGTTGTAATAACTGTTTAAAGAAGAGTTCACCAGTTTTGAGACTTGTCCCAGAAGCCGCAACGGAGCCATCTTTGAACAGTTTCCAAGATCCAGCGTTATTCTCCCAAGTAACACAGATGTGGTGCCACTTTCCATCGTTGGCAGAGACGGAAGAAGAACTTCTTTAGAAGAACAGCACAAAAAGTACGTTTAATAATAAATTCATCCTACAAAGATATAATTATCATTAACTCCATCGGACGTACATTTTTATCAGTGAGACAGATTTTGAATCTGATGTGCATTCAATCCTTTTAAGAAGACCTTAACATGCGATGGGTTGCAATCAACGGTATTAACTTCAACCCAATGCTCCGCCGACTTGCATTCATTTCATCAAGAATGAACTTCTCCGAACAATTAAAGAAGTAAACATTGTACCTTCTTCCTCCCACAGATAATCCCAATTTCTTATAGTTCCACAAAGTCAATTCGTTGTGTGTTCCAGGAACAGCATAGCTCAGTTGTGTTCCTTCATTGTCGGTATCAGCGGTTTTCATCCAGAGACAAACAGCCACTGCTGTAAGGCTTGGCATACTACTTGTGATGATGATATGGTCACTAGTTCCTTTACGCGAAAATTCAAAGGCGTAATCTGCAACTGTATATGAGATTCACAAAGATGTAAATATCAGGCCAGCCTGCTTGCTCGACCAGGATTAACTTGTGGGTTGAGTTTGTTGATGGCTCTCGTCCTTGCTTTGAGGGTTTTACTCTGAGCTATCGGGTTTTCCTCCCTCAACGAAACACTACTCTTCAAATTCCGACTCGAAACATTGGACGAGGGTTACACCTCGTGGAATGTCAGCCGCTAAAATTATCATCATTGTCATATTGATATTATTAGTATCATTATTAATGGGTAATGAAGAACCAAAACTGGCTAAAATTTGAATTTGAATCTGTCTTAATCACCATCACTTGTGAAAAATTGTTTCAATTGAAAAGAAAAATTTAACTTTTTTGATTCATTAGTTTTCCAAAAAACTTTTTCTGTGTGTGTGATCTAACTTCGTAACTGCGGGAATTTTTAGGGCACAGCAATATGGCCCACGGTTATACGATTGGGAAGAGCATTGCTACAAAGATAAGATCTTCCAGGATCCTCACGTGACCATAATTTTGAGCATACTTACATGTATCACAATGCTTCCCAGTAAAATCCGCTGTACAATTGCAGAGATGATCATTTTGTTTAAAGTCAGGAATGCATTTTCCACTATTCTTGCAAGGCCAGTTCTCACAAGGCGACTATTTCATAAAAAAATTAAAGCATCTTCTTTCAATTTTTAATTTAATTGTCAAGGTCGAAGAAAACGATGATTGCTTAAGACACTGGTTGTATTCAAGAATAATTGTTTGAGTAAATGATAGTTCCACTCAATTACACAAAACTCAAACGTATAACTGTGTTGAAACAAACGTGAAAGGCACGAACGCGTACGACTACACTCAAACTACACTGAATTTAGCTACATCTGATAAATTAACCACTCACCATGGGGCTAAAATGATGGAAGCTAGAATTAGCTTTAAGTCTGTCTTTAGCTCTGTACATGTCTGTGGCCAGCACCTCACATACATAGATACCATTAGAATCTGGAGATTTGGCTATATTATATGACAAGCACTTGGGATCCCCAACACAGCTGAATGAACAATCCGATGCATCTTCAACAAAAAGTGACTCTGTTATTGATACCAAGAGACTTTGGTTGTGGTTACGTTTAAATTTTCCATATTTTGTTTGCGAGTCACGATATAGAGAACTTTGCATAAATGCGTTAGTCGTACTTGACAAATACAAAACAGTGACCAATACAAAAGAAATCCGATAAGTCATCGTAAACGCCAAAGAAATATCTTCTACCCAAGAATCTAAATAGGCAGGATCTGATCTCTCACGATGTTTCCGATTAATTAAACAGTTCACACAGAAGTCTTGAATTTTAATTAGGATAATTATGACGAGAGTTAGCAAATAAACTTTCAATAACATTCAGTGGATCAAACGGTTTAAGTCCATTCTTGAGTCTCGACTTTTAAAATAATCAAACGTGAAAATAAAAAGCAACACCTATGGCTAATTATTATCGAAATCCCTTCTAGATGCTATAGGTCATTTTTTATGTTTTTTTTTTTCTTTTTTTTTTTTACTAAGACAGAACCGTTTGGTGGAACCGCTTTTGGACTGAATATTAAAAAAAAGTCTTAACGAATGCCCTTCCCTTTGTATATTTTTTACCCTGTGTAATAAATTTATGGTAACAAATACATCTTTCCCGAATCAATATGTGGGAGAAAAAATATCTAAACTGAGTCACTGAGTGATCTATTGTTTGTAAAAGGTTTCAATAACTCTATTTATAAGAGCACGCCATGAAACCGAACTACGTTTAGAAGACGCCATACTTTATCTTCGGTTTAATCAAATTCTTCATACTAATGGGGAGGCCACAAGCGCACTTTGTGACAACAGTTCTTCCAAATCTACCATTGAAATAACAAAGAATGATAAAAAGAATGTGTCGGCTGGGTTTAGCAACAAGGCAGAATGAAAGAGATAGTTTAGAAAAAAATGAAGACGTTGAAGGTTACGAAGCAGCAAATCGAAATCCATTGGGAATAGATGTGTTCTGTACGATATCATTTCTTGTATCTGCAGATCGTAAATTACATAAAGATGGACTCAACGGCCAAGAGTGCTTTTGTGAGTTTAGTCAGTAAACTAACGGAGAAAAACTATGATGAGTGAAGATACATGAAGAAGCAAAGAACCGATCAATGAATTAGCTCTTTGCAAAACTAAAAAGTCAGAGGAGAAAGAGAACATTTGGATTTATGACTTGCCATTCCAACAGGAAGCATTACTTTTGGAGGAGGCCACATTGTAAGCTTTTCAGGGGTCTATCGTTTAGTCTGGTGGAGAGAAAAGTTAAAGCTGGTTTCAAATGAAATCATACGCGATCAATGAGATAATGTCCCGCGCTCGTAGTAACCATTACAGTGTCCAGTAAAGGGGTTATCATTCTAATATTATTTCATTTTTTAGCCTTCCAAATACATCGAACGGCATAATGAGACTCCTATCAATTATGCAAGGTGTGCTCATAACAAAAACAGCACAAACGAAATCATGGTAGTTACTTTATAAGAAACCAAGAAAGTTTTATTATTTACGATTTCGTCCTCCAAAAAGTAAAAAAATCGGAGTTTGACGATGTGGTAGTACGGACCGAGCGCAGCCAATATTCCCAAGGGCCAATATTTCCCAGTGCGGTTCGACGGAGCCAGGTTAGTAAGAATTTTATTACGTGGCGCTGAACCAAACTTGCTTATTTTTTATTTTTTGGCCTTCGGCCTATGAACGTTTCCGTCGAAATGATCAGTATGGCAAAATATGGACAAAGTAAGAAGCAATCAGAAAGCTCGGATTTAACTTAATACTACCTTGCCATATAACAACGTCGCCCTACTATGGTTAAATGGCGCAATATTGGAATAATGTTGTGCAACATTTCCTGAATTGAGGATAAAGTTAGAGTTACAAAATTGAAAATGTTTGATCAAAAGAAGTATAAAGTACCCTGTTATTCGCGCGTTTTTGTTTGATTTTGTTTGGGTGATTTTGCATATCCAATTATCTTAAAGTCAACTGCACCGCTGACCGATAGAAATACTTGGTACATACTAGCCGGCATATGTCCACAAAGAATATGATGGGGGAGTTCTCGTAAAATTGGGTCAGTGTTCATATCGACCCCGGCAGGTGGATGAAATACGGACAAAATCTTAAAATTTTGTACCTAAGATTAAAAAGTAACAAATCCATTAGTTGAAATTCACTTTATTCCTTCCGAATAATTGTGACTCCCACTTTTGAATTGATTTTCACCCAAGGCATCAATTAAAGGGTTTCTCAGCCTTATCACAAAGTGGATTCGTCGATCGTCCTATCGGGTCAATAAGGTGGTATTTCGGTTGTATTCAACAGAAACTAGGTGGGCAGACCATAAAAGTTGTAAATCTTTTAGTTCATGGCCATCTCCTAACAACAACGATTAATACTCTTTCTCATAACAAGAATTTGATAGATTTTTTAATTTGAATACATTGGTATGCTATACATATTAGTGAAGTTTTTATGTTTTTATCTAAAGGCTTCTTTAACCCTTTAACTCCCAGATCAAATTTGCAACTCTCTTTACTGTCAACCATACAATTCTTATAATGTTAGTTCAGAGAATTTAGTATTGGATCAAATAATTATCCCCAAATTGATATTTTTCTTTATTCTCATCACTTATATGGTTGATATTGTATTGACATTGTAAGGAGAAATTCTGTCTTGGTCACTCAAGGGAGTTAAAGGGTTAGGCTGCCAAACTATGACAACGTTACCTTTAGTAATATAAATAACAAGTAACTGCATCCTAAATTTTGTAACAATATCCGGATCGTTACATTCACAATTTTAATGAGATCTCGATTTAATAATTTGCGAAACATGTTGCGGTTTTTTTCTCACATCAGCCTTCGTCAGTCATAAGCATAGGTAATGATCATTTTTAAATCCATAAAGAAACAGCAAACAAAAAGAATGCAAAAGAAACAAAGTTTCAGTACTTGTAGCGGTAAATGTGTCAACTCGTTTTTGCGTTGAGTAAGCATTGAGTAAGAGTTAGTTTAAGCAGAAATTTTGTGAAGGTAGAATTTGAATAAAGGAATCTACAGCACTGTTTCTTCTGTTTCTCTAGACTGATGATTTCGAAGGGCAAATCAAGGAAGTTGAAACGTTTTCGATTCAGTTTAAATAGTTGCGATATACCAGCCCTTAATTCAGGCATCCGCAGGGCGTAAACTATGGGATTAATCAAGGAGTTTGCAAAGTATATGATTTGCACTAAGATATGAACATGAAAACTCGCTATCTGGGATAAAGGAAACTGACTTGATTCCCCGATGTGCAAAGCGATTACTAGGCTTTGGTGTATTATAAGTGGAAGCCAAGTTACCATCGATCCAAAAGTAACAACAAACAAGGTATTGGTCAGTCTCCTTTCTCTCTGTCCGGCTGCACCATGGTGTTGAGGATGACGACCGCAACGCACTTTGACAACTAAACAGAGATATGAGACTAAAATAACGAAGAGAGTCATAAAAAATATGAAAAGTAAGCAATTTCCGAATTTAGAGGGTCTGAAATAAAGATTTGTTCTGTCGCCAGTAAACCAGTGGTTAATAACCAGATTAAAGTTATAATTATCATATAAACCCATTTTTTTTGTATGGCGATGCCTGACTGGACAAAATGTTGCACGCAGTCGTTCTAAAGAAATAACCGCAAGACTTAGCAGGGAAACAACTGGGAAAATGCTGAATGTGATTTTTACGCGAATTGACAATTGATTCATCCAGTCGTTTCTCCACAGATTGCAAAATGACGCCATTTTAAGTTCGATTCGTAAAGGCCCACTGATTGCGCCAACTAACAAATCGACTATGGCCAGATGGATAATCAGATATGTGCTCTGTCGTTGTAGCTTGCGCTGCTTCACGAATACGATAACAGCGATGATATTAAGAAGGACTATGGCCAGGCATTCAGTGATGAAGACAACAAGCCATGGAATACAATGTGCGAGAGGAACTAACATCAAGTCTTCTTGGCTAGAGGTGTTATGAGTATTGTTGCTGATCTTGTTCGCCATTTTGTTTCGCCAGTTACTTGGAAACCAAAGAATTACCTAAAGTAAAGAAGAAAAAGCTTTCTGAAATTTACCTACATTCCTGAATTTTCCTTTGTTCCTTGCTGACGCCTCTTCCGGTATATGTTTTCAGGAAGCAAAAATGAATGCGGGCATATTTTAATCTCATTTCTATTTTGTTCCTTACCATAATCATGTGTCATAAACTTTCAGTTCATTTGGCTGGTCGAAATATAGCCGCGGAGTACTGATTAAAAAGACTACAAAAACTCATCGATATTCAGTCGGCACGATGAGTTTTTTTACAGTTGTCCTTTTTTCTTGGTTCTGTGAAAAAAAAACTTGCTTACAGAAGCACGATAGGAACAGGTGAGAAAATATCGTTTACCGTTACCTTGCATTTGATATTTGCGATTGTAAACTCACAGATGAGTGACTTCTGCGAAAAGATCTGAAATTTAGAACAACCGCATTACAAAAATTAGCAAAAAAAAATATTTGAAGAATTTCTGGCCCACCAAAACATTGTATGATATGTTCATTCAAAGACATTTCAAGACATTTAAATACTGGTTTCCAGGCTAGAATCTCTTACGTTTGGTTTTGAACGACTGGACACCTCACTTTCGTTCTTTATGTTCAAGAAAATAAACGGAGTGATTCCAAAGTTGAGACATGTCAGGTAAATATGGGAATCCGTTTTTTTTGCCTTATTATGTTGTTCAGATTAACCAGCTGAAAACATCTGATAAACACACCAAAACAGACTAACAGTCATTATCATCTAATTTCATTTGTCTAAATTACGTCTCTTTTCTTTTAAGAGTCTTCTGATAAAGACAAAGTCGAAAGAAAAGAGAAAATTAGAAAAGAATAGAAACGAGAAACTTTTTTTCAAAACCAATGCCTTTATTCAAAGCACTTTGATGAAAACTCGGTACCAGAAAAATTTGCTTGCGTTGCTGCTTCACAGTTACAGATGGGTATCTCACCATTTACCAATTAATCAACTGATGTCTGTGGTATTTTCCACAAATAGAATTACTATTAATGAAAAATGTACCATTAAAATTAACTATAACTTCCTTTTTTCGTAATCTCTCGTATAACATGATGTTTTTAAGGCGCCCTGTCCTTTCTATTTTCGCTGTTCTTTTCATGGTGTCAAACAGTGAACTAAGAGAAAATAAGCCAATGAAGATAAGGTTCGTGACACGATGTATGCATAAGATTAATAAAAGTCTGAGTAGCCAGACGTTTATCGGTGAATTTAGGCTTATTTTAGGCACAGCTGTTAGATAAGGAAAAAGAGTGGGTTGATAATAAAACGTCTTCTAGAATATTGCATTTCGTAGTAGTAGTAGTAGATTGGCCCAGGTTCGAGAAAATAGAGTAGATGATTTAAAAAAAAAGATGCATTATGGTGAAAGGTAGCGGTCTCTTTTAATCATGCATGAAGATAATTACAGCATGCAGGGCATTCGTTAAGCTAATAGCGCTCAACGACTGAAGTATTTTTTTAACAACAAACTCTAATTGCCACATATAGAGATGGCTCTCTTTTGTTAAAAAAGATTTCTTGGAGTGTAAAACTCAGGCACAAAATTTACTTACGCGCTTATGTTTTCCATCAACCACGCGATTTCGACGCTTAGTTTACAATCCAGGTTAACCTGAACAAAGAGGAATACTTCGCTCAAATAAATAATCAAACCATCGAAGTCATCTTTAAATTGGAAGTTTTTGGCATAGAATGAGAGAAGCTGGCAAACTGAACCAATCAGGAACTCCTTGCCTATTTCGTGAGATAAATAAAAAACATGGTCGTATTAACCTTGTTTTTTTTTCCACTAAAGAAGGGTCTCTTGATTATTGCATGGTGAAATTTACGAAAAATTGCTCGTTTGGTCTTGAAGTTCTAGCAATTTTTCTCTTCTATAAGACAACGCTGTAAAGAATGGCTCAAACTGTCGGGCGAAATTTCTTTAAAAATTCGTAACATAGGGCGAATTTTATGGAATTTTCTTTCAGTATTCTTGCACAAATCTATAGGTCCCTTATAATAAATGAAATGCTCAGTTAAAACCTTATGCTAAGTTATATTCGGTTTGGCTAAATTAACGCGCGTAACGGCCAAGGCACAAAGCTTCGGCACATGCGCATTGGTGTTGCGACATTATACACATAGAGTGCTGCTGCTGTAACCATACCTATTAGAAAGAAGGACTTAAAGCCTTTGAAGTTGTTATGTTGACATTAGAAAACTGTTTTGAAATGAAACAGTCACAAAGTCGCCAAATACGGAGGTTTTGCTCAGCGACTAGTTCCGGCATAACACTTAAGCTGTTATTTAGACTTGTATTTAAGGCACTCTTCTCTTTGCTTAACCCTCAATATTTGCATACAACAGGAAATGAAGTTTAACTTGGTAAATGGCTTCCTGTTCACCTGCAAAATATCATTTAGCTCGATGTGTTGGCTGAAGAACTTAATTCTGGCCTCTTCGACTAGTTAATGTGCTTTTTGCATGACAGTTCCTTCCTGTCATTCTTTTTAAATTCTGATTACAACAAAATTAACAAAACCTTTTTGGACCATGTCTGTGGGACGTTTTCGTGGATTCTAGATTTCTAGTTTCTTAACACCACATACGTAAAGAATGCGTAATGACTTTCGTTTTGACAGATTTTTTTTTTTTGTTTACTTCAGAATTGTTTGTAGATATCTAAAAATAACAAGAAAAACAAACCTTGATGCAACATTTTGGGGCTACTTGCTGGAATATCGTGTACTTGGAAAAATAACATAATTCTTTTAGAAATATCTCCGCACGTTCAAACCTTCTTGCTTTTGTGCATACCCGAGAAAAATAATAAATTTCTCAACTCTCATCGTGTAAAGAGAGCATATAAATTACGTTTCGCTTTTGGAACCGAAAGGAGTCACCATCTTCAAATAACACATCTTATTCGTAGATAAAAGTTTATGAATTACCCACTTCATAGACCGCAATATCAGTGAATTGAAAATTACAGATCTCAAATAACATAATAAATTTAAATTTCCTCTCGGCGTAAAAATGTCATTGAACACTAAGGGTAAACAATTGTTTTCTGTCCTTTCACCTTTTTACATATTTGTTATTCATTTGCTGTAGCTATTTCATTTTCAACTTTAATTCTAAACAAGAGATTTCCGTGAAGCAATGAATCAACAGAGTTTGAACAATTTCAAATAAGATCAATATATAATATACCAAAACTGTTTATATGATTTACCAGCGAGTTGGCAAAGTAGACGATTTGGACTGTAATATGAACATTAAAACGTCTTTTTGGGGGTAGTTGAAGACTTGATTACGCATAATGTTACCTGCGCTTGAAGTAGAAAAATCTTGTACGATTTTTCTTTATTACTTGCCAGAATCTCGTCTTCTGGTCCACAAATTAAATCAACTGTAATAGTTGAACTTAAGCCTCACAAAACACGGACCATGCGCTCGCCATTTTTTATGTCAACTGCGCATGTCCTTATAGTCCCTAAATACCAGGGCTCTAGACCCTTAAACTCTAAACCTGCAAATGCAAATCTTGGCAAGTATGAAACTCTCATTCATGGTTAAGTTTTCACTTCTTGATTATTTTATTGTAAACTACGTTTGAAACTGTCAAATTGTTAAGCTTCGTTTTTCCATACTACTAGGTAGTTCGCGTATATCTTTTTTTAAAAAATCTCGAGACGCTGGAGACTTTAATACGATCACACTAAGACGATCAATAACAACATAGACGATGATCCTTCAATCACAGACGTTGAGCCCGATTAACACCCACTGTTCTTGAAATGAGCCCGCAATCCTCCTGCTCAGTCGGAAGTAAGACCGCACTCGACCATGTTCGAGCTTCACACGAACTTCTGCTTCTGTGTGGACCTGATAGATCTTTCGGGCAATTCGTTGTTGGTCTCAATAGCGTTTCTTTCATTTTTTTCTACTTTAAAACGACCCGAGTAATGAGGGACATTACAGAAAAAGCAAATTTGAATGCACATTCGTTACAAATTTAGAAGAGGGTGCCACTCATTGCCAGAAATCGACACAAAAAGATCTCCCTCGAATTCGACAACATCAAGATTCTGTAACTATTCCCAAATCTTCAAATGGCAAGAGGACGAACGCGCTCACTGTAATTATAAGTCTTGGATCCTACACCCTAAGTTCGCTGAGTTTAGAAAACAAAGGAATCTTTGCATTTGGGTCGACATGACGCGATTTTCTCAGTTGTGTCCTTTAGTTCTATGAGATGAAGCAGCACAAAAGAGCATGACATCTGATGAGAAATTAATGTTATTTACCTTTCGGTGTTTCAAGGAGGATTATGCGCTATCCTGTTGTCAGGTCGCAGTTGTATGAGAATACCACTTAAAGCTAAATAAGAACAAATATGATAAAATTTCTCAAATAGGGGTACATGGCTTTGTTAAGGAAAGAAAAAGTTGGATCAGACATGATATTCTTTCAAAGATACGACTATTAAAGCGTTTTTGTTTAGTGAGTAACAAATGGAAACTATCAAATTGGCATTTATACGGCCGAAAATTCCACTTAACTTACTTTCTTTAAGATCCAGAAAAATCTTCCCAGGGTGTCCAATGTTTCGGGAACAGCTTGCCAAATAAACTGGCAAGCCTTACTCACCACGTTTATATCGTATCATGAATTAAGCAGGTGAAATCCAAAGTCAAACAGAAATTATGTGGAAAATAATTCCCCAATCATTGAGCCCCCTTATAAGAAAAATGTGTTAGCTTCATTGTTTGACAGTTAACCTCCAACAGAGTCTGCATTAAGGTTGCTCCAAACTTTCTCAGATATCTTCCGGAGAAAACTTCGTAGGTACACTGTTTTTCAGGAAACACAAGTATATAATATATCCTTAGCAATTTTGTTGAATTCAGAATTCGATTAAACTATAAGGTATTTGATTTTCCTCCTTTAATGCCAACGAAGCCGATAAACAGTAAAATTACTGAACACAATTCTGACGAATTTATCCGTTATCAAGCGTGATCTCCGATGCTGTGTTACTGCATAGTGTTATAGAAAGAAAGTCACTCCCTCTAGGTCAGAAAGCATCTCTCCGTATAACCATTGGTTTTTCTTTTAATAGAGCTGTCAAGCTCTAGTGTCGCGAAAATTGCAAGCGTGCTGCGTTCCAAAGCCTCAAAAAAGGGGAGCATTTGTTTGAAAAGGGAGGCCGACACAACTGAGTTACTCGTTATTCAGTTCATGTTCTGTTTAAATTTCGCAACATTTCGTCAATTTTACTTTCCCTTTTAATTTTTTTGAAGAAAATACCATTTTTAGAAATCATTTTGCGAGTTTTCGACTCCTTATCGTTAAGAGGCATTTCACGCTCTCACAGAAAATTATGTTGGCACCTGGCTCACACTGTGAGCCGCAAGCGAATAATATTGTAGAACTCCTGCTGTTCACAGCAAGCAAAATGGTACCTCACAGCAAAGTGATAATTTTCCAGTCACGTTTGCCCAGTCAGCTTCTACGAGCACGTTCTCGTTTGGGTTACACGAGGGGAAAAAATCTTATTCGACGCCACTGTTCGAAGGTTGGGCAAACCACGAACCAAAGTCACTCTCAGCACGATATTAATATTATTAATTAGAAAAATTCACAAGTTTTGCGATTTTTAGATTCTGGATGTGCTTTGGTTTTAATCAAGGACATCTTCCCTGTTTGAATGTTTCATGTCTAGGGATAGACTTGTCCATTTTCAAAAACCACAACATGAAAATGAGAGAGCGAACAAAGTTGATCTATTGTGACGTTGTTTGCCACGAACTGATGTTGTTAGGGATTCCACGTTGTAATAATTTGTAAACTTTTTTATTGTAAATTTCTAACACGCTTTTTAAGATTTTTTTAATTTTGTTTTTTTGGAATAAGTAAGTTTGGATCCTCAACTTTAATTTGTAGGGAAAGTTTCTTCGATAGAAGTAGTCTTGCCGCCGAAAGTTTGGAGCAACCTAAATGAATTAGTGGTTGGATGTTTTTCCCAAAACAGAATTGTTTAATTTAATAAGTACTGAATATAAAAGTGATCTTCGCTATGATGAACACTATTTAAACAGTAGCGAAAATAAAGTCTGGAAAAACTTTCAATCGGTACAGTACTCTACCAACTGAGCAAACAAAGCTCACTGGGAAGATTGCTTTCATATTCATTTCTTAATCCGCTGTTCACACACATGATTTTCATATATTCACAGCTTTTCAATACTATTGAGTACGTTGTCTAAAGTGCGGTACTTTAGACAACGTACTCAAAGTTAATTTTACGACTGGAAAACGTAAACTTAGTATTAGTTTTCCGTTGTTGCTATTTTAGTTGCCGTTTTTTTTTTTTTTTCTTTTTCTTGTTTAATTGGAGGAAATTATGAGCAACCTCATCTTAGACACTGATATTTTTGGAACTTGAGTTTCTTCTGGTTTTCTTGGTGTTTTGTTTCAGTTATTACGAAAGGGGTCAGTTCATAAACCTGAAAAGATTACTTTCAGTCAAGTACTTCCACACATCTTTTGTACCTTGAAGCTTAACTAACGTCGAGAGTTTGGTTTTATAAACTAAGTTGATGATATGAATCAACTGCGGCCAAGGGATTCTAAAGGAGACATTTCGAGTGTTACCCTTTCGTCATATTCGCTCTGAAAGCTGTGACACAGGTTCTTTAGAAACTCACCTCCATTCATTCATTCGTTTTAAGAATTGCTTGCACCTCTCGTGAGAGGATCTTTACAAGATGCATAAATCTTGACTATATTTTTTTTATTTAGTTTGAGGATAAAACAAAAGAGAGAGCGAGGAGAATTTGATATTCAATAGTCAACTTTTATATTAAAATTCCATGTAATGACAGAAATAACTCGAAATAAGGAAGAGTAGATTGACTATAAGGAGCCAACCGGTCCAGTTTCGGATCAGGTTGATCCTCATGGTTTATCGGGCTTTTACAATCACAACAAAGATAGCAATTGACATGAGCCTGCGTTACCGCTGTGTACCAGTATGTGGTTTGCTTCGAGACTTACCTAGTTATCTCAGTCGGTTGACCAAAAACCGAAAAAAGGTTGGTTGTATAGATAAAAACACAAAAAATAACAAAATGAAATTTAAGTGATTCGGTAATAAGTCATGCCTTAATATAAAAAGGAAAAAAAAAGGAAATACGGTTAATGAGGTGAAAATATCAGCTTCTGCTTCAGTATCTGCACACAAAAAAATCATCCCTTGTTGCTGGGTGAACCCATGTGTCGACAAGGGTTAGAAAGGAAGAAGGCCTGACCCAGCTACACCACTGTCCTGTTTTCATGTTAACGCTTGCAAACATTTGACTGCACTTTCTTGCAATGACTTGCAAGAAAAAAGAAACGAAGATGACTTACAGACATATTATCAAGTATACTTGTGTGAGAACTTAGTAATGATGCAAGAAAACTGACTCTAATAATTAAATTTGTACTTATCGACTTTAGTCACCTCAGTCTCAATGAAATTTCAGTTCACTGGATATATTTGTTAAGTGGGTTCACTGTATAGCATACAAGGCCAACTCTACACTCAATTCGAAATCAAATTGCCAATTAAAAAAAGAAGTGGATTGTTAAAATGGCACACTTTCTGTACGAAACGAGGTAACTTTAATTTATCCAAAACTTTTCATTGCTAAGAATATTCCTGAGCACTGCTCCAAGCTTTCAAAGAAGGAGACGCATTTGATAACTTCGTCAACATCTCACTGCAGATCCGTGGCCGCCGTCCTTAAAAGCGCTCTCCATTTGACTTTAAAGCCTGGCCTTCTGTCAAATTTCGTCACCGCAGGGGAGAGATGGTAGAAAAATTGCGCCTTTTCATTTCCTGCCCTGTTTGACTGCTCTAGTCTCAAAATACAATCTTCTTTGATTTGCTTGAGAAGAAGCTTCAGAAAGCAGAAAATGAAGAAGCCGCTCAGTTTTCCAAGTTTGTTAACTATATTTACAAAACCCGGCGCCATCACACCGGAAAATCTGAAAACCTCGCGATAAGTAACAATTTTCTGTAACCGCGTGCAGGGGCCCATGGGCTCCTGCCACGTGATAATTCATTTTACTTTTTTCACAATGCACGAGCGGTGGAATTCTACAAATCTTGCGATCTCATTGGCTCCGAGAGAGGGCAGTATTCTTCCATCCTGCTCTCTCACAGTGCGTGGTATCCGATCTCTGACTTCGTTGTGATTTTTCATGAATATGTGGTGTTTTGCCAGCTGGGCAGCATTTTAAGCAAAGAATTTTCTCCTTTTTAACTCGTGAATTGCGCGCATGCGCAAGAGCGAGTTATAGATACGATGTGGGGAATGGCATTCGCTCGCTCGCTCGATTGGTCGATTCCTGTAAACTTTTTTTAGATTTTAGGCTTTTGAGTGCATTTTATAGTTTTTGGCGAGCAATAAACAGACGAAATGGCGACCTTTGTTGCTAAGAATAGTGGTGGGGTGAAAAAGAAGCCAATGATAATCTTAAAAGAGGTTTTTTTTTTTTTTGTTTTAGTTTCAACAAGCGGCGCCAGCTACTGGCAGGCATGCAAAGATTCACACTGAAATAACAGAACTACTTTCGTTTTTCATAAAATTGTAGTTTACAATCCTTGAACTTGAAAACAATCCGAAGATTCATTGAAAATATCACTTACTGCGAAGCGCTGGGCGTTTACAGATGTTCAAAAGCTTTTTCTGTTACGGCATCAGATTGAGGACAAAATCGATCATTACGTTTCGTATTGTGTGTTTTTCCTGTGTGAAGCAACTAAAGATGCCGGCGACTAACGAAATTACAAGTTAACACGAAAATCAAATAGCACCTAAACAAACAATTTTAGCTACCGATTTTCAGTGAATTTTTTAAAGAACAATTTTCTTTTTAAGTTTCAAGACAATTTGAAGATTCAAAATACATACAACGTACTAAAATGCGAAAGTTACACACCACAAAATTGATAAATAGGCCTGAAATGAAATTCTATCTTGTTATTGATCATACGTTGCCTAGCAAGTGACTTAAATCTACCCAGGCGGAGATCCAAAATGACGGTGGCAGGCTTGGCTTAGTTATATCACTCAAAACTCGTTCCCGTTTGTCTCATTTGATAAAGAGGGAATCGTTAATGTTTTCATTAAGACAGTATTGCCTTGATTTTCTAATATTTACAACGAAAGACAGTAAATTTCACTTTTCACCCACATTTACTTCCAACCTTTTCTTTTGAACCAGAAACAAAAATGATAGACGTTTAAAACACATGACACATCCACCTTGTCAAATGATAGCATGATCATTTCAATTGTAATGCCTTCTTATCCCAACGTTACTTTGTTTCTTTGCTACATTAGCGAACTACTGCTCGTACTCTAGATATGACAATCAACCACAAAATTCCCTAAACCAGATAACATTAAACATAATCTAAAAAATCATGTGTCAATTCACGAGTTTGCTTACAGAGCACTTGGATTCTCACTCAAATCACAAAAAATAAATGGTTTCGGAAAAAATTGGTTGACAAACGACCTAAAAACCCTTTGTAATTTAATGACCTTTCATCAAAAGTAACTCAGAAGTTAAAAAGTGAGGCATTTGTCTACAATTAAATCAATTACTGTAACTTTCATTTATTTGATATCTTAATCCTCCCAAAAAGTTAGTTGGTCATAAAACTTTGAGTGAAGTATTGAGTTCTATTTCGCGATGATGGTAATTTCTTCCGCTTCTCCCTCTTCAAGGCGAGGTCAAAAGTCCAGGAAGTTGTCATCAGCGAGCTTCTCTTTGCTGGCTATGCTGCTCTTTGTGCCTCATTTGAGGAGTAGCTTCAATAAATTCTAGCCTGTTTCTCTGAGTCATGCAAAGTGTTTGGTCTCATCAGTCTGAAGAAAACCATCGTTATGTCGCCAAATATGTCTCTAGAGGACGAGATATCCATAATACTTAGGAAAGTTTCTTTACAACTTTCAGTCGTCTACTGATCGTGTGTGGAAGAACAAGCATCTCACCACTAGAACCAAAGTATGAGTGTATAAAGCTGCCATATAGTGCCATATGGTGCTGAATGCTGGACCACATACAGACCTAAGGAATCATACCTTGGCGAGTTCCACACCAGATGTCTCAGATCTCTCCTTGGATGGGAGGATAAGATAACAAATGAAGAACTGTTCCGAATCACAAACTCTGGACTACTCTCTTCACAACTAAAACCAAAGCATGTCAGCGACTCGAAAGAAGGAACCAGACCTAGAGGGCGGCCTAGGCTCCGATTCAAAGACGTTCGGCAACGCGACCTAGTGGACTTAAGTATGAATCCAGTGTGATTTCCGATGTCCAAGAAAGCGGGGAACAGCTTTTCCCTATATGGACCTCCCGACTGCTGAGACATAGGTTATCATACGTACGACTGCGACCGCAAACCGAAAGAAAAAATTGGCTAAAACCGTCAAAACGCCAGAGTGTAGCAGACCCTCTGATTGAAAAAGTCACTCACATATCCTTATTTTATGAGACAATTAATATAGATTCTAACAGCTGCAGTTGCAGTTATCGCCTTTATTTTATTAATCTTGTTAAAATGATTTGATTAGAGTACACTCTAATAAATCAAACTCTTTTTATATATATTTGATTGTTTTAGACAGGGAAGAATTATTGTAGACGTATATGTAGCTTCTAAGACCTTTTAAAATGATTTATGTGTCCTTAGCTTTAAAGTCGCGTGACTCTTTATTTTTATAATTTCAAACACCTGAACCACGAGTCTTGGGCCTGAATACCAGGAAATCATCCCATTTAAATTCTGAAATTTCTAGTTATGAAACTCAAACTAGCCGATTTAACAAATCTCCGAGTATAGAGTTGACAAAATTGTTACTTATATTTCCAAGCTGTCTTGCCATGGAAATAAACAATTCTAAAAATAATTACCAACTAATATCAAGTATTACTTAAACATCAATAAAAGGAGTGAAGCCTAAATATCTAGAAATAACCGTATAATTGAAAACAATAGGGATCACCCTTGTGGACTGGGAAAATTATAATTTTTGCTTCGCGTGAGGACATCATGTCCAAAGTGTACCTACACTTTTGCGTTTTTTTTTTTTTTTAATTATTTTATTTTTTTGGTTCTGGTTTGCTTTATTTTTTGTCGATGTTTAGGCCTGTGCTGTCATATAAGTGTCAAACGTGACGATAATTAAATGAAATATTTACAGCGCTGTCTCTCTAGTTTCTAATTTCCTCTAAATGGAGTCTGCGAAGCGGAAAATCATCGAACTCTAAACGGTTTCGATTTAATTGAAATAGTTGTGATACGCCTGCTCTTAGTTCTGGTATCCGCTGGGCGTAAATTATGGGATTTATCACAGAATTGGAAAGGAAGAGTGTTTGCATCATAATATCAACATGAAAGCTCACTTTTCCAGTTACTTTTGAAAAACAATCATTGTTAAAACTAACTAGGCCTTGGTAGATCATGACTGGGAGACAAGTGAGCAAAGATCCCATAGTAACAAGAAACAAGGTATAGGTTAGTCTCCCTTCCCTCTGACCGGCTGCGTTATGATGCTGAGGGTGACGATTGCAACGCACTTTCACAAATATACAGAGATAAGAAAGAAAAATGACAAAAAGAGCAGCGAAGAAATATGAGAAATAAACTTTATCCACAGGGATGAGATAGAGATAAAAGATTTGTTCAGTCAGTGTTAACCCTATCGCCAATAACCAAATGCCAGCAATAATAACTACATAAACCCTCCTATTAGCATGACGATGCCTGAATGGACAAACTGTTGCGTGTGCTCGTTCCAATGAAATAGCAGCGAGATTCAAAAGAGAGGCGACTGGAAAAATGAATAATACACCTCTTGTGTGATTCAGCCACTGGGTCTCCCAGTCGTACTTCCACAGGTTGCAAAACAATGCTATTCTATTTTCTATTCGCAAAGGTCCACTGAATGCACCGACCAAGAGATCGACGACGGCAAGATGGATGATCAAGTACGTACTCCGGCCCTGAAGCGCGCGCTGCTTCACAAATACAATAATGGTGATGATATTTAGGATGACTATGGCCAGACATTCAGTGATGAACACTACAATCCAGGGAATGCAATGTGAGAGGGGACTGGGTTCCCATGCGCTGGAGAAGTTTTGAGTATTGTTGCTGATCTTATCATCCATTTAGCTTCTGTTGACGTTTGCAAAACAAGGAATGACCTAAAAAATAATCGAGAAAAAGCTTTTAAGATTGGCTGAATGCAGGCACGTAGTGCTTCTTTTGGTGCAAAAATGTGAACAGCGGAATTAATTCCTTAGTCATTTTACTGAAAAGTTCTTCCGATAATTTGAAACCGGCTTGCCTTGTTCGACAAAACCGAAAATGAAACCAACACCTGTCTAAACTTTGACATATAAGTAAACTATTTCAGGGATGTTTATGAATAAAATGAGCTAGACACTAACGTAAAAATCCAATGAAACATAGCCTTAAAGTGTGCGAGATACTAACGTAACAATAAAAAGAAAGGGAATCTTTTAAGTAAACGCGATATTTACTTAACAATCCCGTACCAACATCTAGTGAATGTTGAGTTCCAGATCTGCTAACGGATTAACTACATACAAACAAACCGACGGAATAGTTGAGTTTCAGGCGATAACATGAAATATTTTCTTTCGGCCGTGGTTGTGATCTTCAGCTTACTGAGATACGCTCGTCTATACCTTGTGTCGCATGATATTGCAGTGTAATAATTCAGTAGGTTACAATTATTCCTTACCTTTTCCGCGCTTTAAAGGCCTTTAAATATATTTTATAAACAGTTATAAGCGTGCAGTTGGGTGAGTACTGCACCAAGATCTGAAATTTAGAATAAACAAAATACACAAATGTCCAAGAGATAGCGAAATATTACTTAACCTTAGAAAACATAAAGTAAGGTATGGTCAATAAAGAGGTCTTCACACGTAAGTGGCTATAGTCGAAAATATTAAAGTTTGCCTTTTAAAATGCATGAGAGATTACCCTACTTACTCTCTTTATACGAAGAAGAGGTCCAGAAAAACTACTTTCCAGGCGAGCGTGGCTTACTCACTCGCATCGTTAGAAATGCATCACGAATTAATTAACATAAATTAAGCTGAAAGCAATATGAAAAAAATTACTAAAGAGCGCAAATCATAGAGACTAGTTGAAATGAAAATATTATTGTGGCGTTAAACTACAAATTTTGTACAAATTTACTTACGGGTAGATGTTTTGCATGTCATATTTTGTCTAGCCGTCGCTGCATCAGGAAAACTTACTCTTATTTGCATTTGTTTTGCTTTGTTGTTGTCTTCGTCGTACTAATTTTATCGTGTCGTTAGCCTTTCGCCTTATGTGCTAGAACGGAAAAGAAAATTGTTGCAAAAAGGACTCATTTGTGATTTTGAGGCAGAGCCAATAATTTTAAACACGACTTTATGTCTAACTTACAGAGCTACTTGTACTTTCTGAGAGAGGATATTTGCATAAGAAAATATAATTTTCTGTTATTAGACCAGATGGTCATCGGTGAATTTCAAAAAGATTTCTGATAGCAAGAAAAATGGAAAGGAGCATTTATGGAAGTTTAAAGTTTAATGTCAACTGTATTTTCCAAAAATACTCGCGATAAAACTCGAAAAATAAAAACTTCAAAACTGCCTTGATTTTATAAACGCAAAGATAACGTGTCTTTTAACCCATGCAGTTTCGGATTTATTAAAGCCAGATGGTCTCAATGCTTTGCAAGCTGAAACAAAAATATAAAGTAATCAAACCGAACGACCAATATGCATGCGAAAATTGCTGAAGAACACCATAGTGGAGCTCGCAAACGTAGCCCCATAATTATACATAATTGTAGTAACCCATCAAGCCGAAAAAAATTGGATGTACGACCATACAAGGCGCTACTTTTAGCATGCGCGACCAACTGTACCACGGGCACTACCTTATAATCAGTCTTCTACACGGACACGGAGAAGTTGCGAATGAATATCCATTAATATTACCACGCACTTTATCCATAGTAAGGGCTTTAGTTTTGTTGAAGAGACGTGCGGGAAAAAAAAAATGCGAGCTCCGCTTTTAGGCTTGCCTAAATCTATATATTATTTTATTTCCATTGGGATTCTCATCTTCATTTCCATAATGCCCACCCCTCCCTTGATGTGCAGCAAAGATCAATTGTACAAAAATGCCACCAATCTTCCTTTGGTTGCACATAATTGTTTCCATGATAAGCAATTCTTCTTTCGTTGTTGTTAGGTTTTGTTTCTTTAGGATTGTGAGAGGGGAGGAGGGGAGGGAGGCTTGGCTCAGGATGACAACAAATAACCTTTGATATAAGCACATTTTTCCTTCCTTCCAAGCGACTGGCAAAGACAGGAAAATAACCTGGGCAGATGCACACTAAATACAAACGATTTTACTCAGAAAACTTTTTTGTTGAACGATTCTTACAAGAGAGTGCAAGTTCTGTGGCGGGTCATAAGGGAGAAAAGCTGGAATAGTCACTTTCGTTTATGAGGGCAGAGTTCAACCCATTAACCTCCATTCATATCTACCTTAGCTGTTTTACACTGAGCTGAATAATTGTAGACGTATGTGTAGCTTTTCAGACCTTTTCAATTATTTAAAAGTTCTAAACGTTCCATGGCTCTTTGTTTATGTAATGTCACATATTTGCATAATCTTGAGTATTGGACGGTAAAATAAATTACGACATTATGGTCATGAAACTCAAACTCACTGATCAAACAAATCCCCACACTAAAGTTGAATGACCTAAAATTGTTACTTGTTTCTTAGCTGTGGCTTTTTCTTGCAGGCCATGGAAATGAAAAAATCGTGATCGATTAGTTACTAAAGTTAAATGCTACTTTTACATCAACATTACTGAAATATATTCAATAATGTTCAGTAATGTTCAGTAATGTTGATCTGGAAATTACCCAATAATGGCAAATAATGCAGGGTTGGCAAAGTATAATTTTAACTTTGCGTAGGTATCACGTCCAAAGTGAACAATTAGTGTTAAATTTGACGGTCATTCAATAGAGAATTTACAGCGCCGTCTCTTTAGCCTCTAATTTTACCCCATGATGGAGATTACGAAGCGGCAAATCAACAGTGAGTAAACGATTTCGATTTAATCCAAATAGTTGTGATACGCCAGCTCTCAGCTTTGGCATCCACAAGGCGTAGATTATGGGATTTATCAGGGAATTTGCAAAGTAGATAACACGCATTGTAATATCAGCATGAAAAACCCATTCAGTCAACAAAAAGTGAAAGTGGAAATTAATCAGGCCTTGGTAAATTATGACTGGAAGCCAGGTGAACAAAGATCCGATAGTAACAAGAAACAAGGTTTTGGTTAGTCTTCTTTCTATCTGACCGGCTGCACTATGGTGTTCAGGATGACGATTGCAACGAACTTTCACAAATATACAGAGATAGGACAGTAGAATAACGAAAAAAGCACAAGAGAAATAAGACCCAGCAAAATCATAACTAGTGCTTTACTTTTTTCATACAAAATCTTTGTTAAGATTATTCTTTTCTTTCAGGAAAGCATGTATGGCTTCTACCATTTACCAGGTGCATCGATCGGTTGTATTAGGTAAACCCATAAGGCCGTAGGGTCCTATCGTTCATTGCTGACCCTTTTACATGTAGGTGTTAAACTAAACATAATTAGCTAACTTCTTTCTCGCGAACAACAAGCCTATAAATAATACTTTGTTTCAATACTACGTGAAATTTGCCTGCGATCTCTCACCAGTGTCCATTGAAGGTTGAATTCGAAATGTGATAAGAAAGTAACCAAACAGAACGATGGAAATTTTTTGATGAGTTTTACAACTGTAGTTGTGACCTTCGGAGATAACAGTGCTTAAGGTCACATGAAATTTCATTGTATTCATTTTAATACGCGAAACAAATCTGTAGCTTACCTTTCCCGCGTCTTAGAGACCTTTTTACTGTAAGGTTATTAGCTTGCAGCTGAGTCAGTATCGCATCGGGATCTGAAATTTAGAAAAAAAAATTGCGAAAATCACCAAGAGGTAGATAAATACTGCCTCGCCTTTGAAAACATAAAGTCAGATACATTCAATTGAGTCAATTAACGTTGAAGAGATTTTAACTTTAAGTGACAAATTCATTATATTTAAATTCGCCTTTAAAAAAAAAGCAAAGGAGATCATCTTACCAACTTTTTTAATGAATTAGAAAGTAAAAGCGATTGCAGGGCTTCCAATAGTCAGACTGGCTACTTGCCAGGAAAGCATGGAACCGAAAACCTTTTTGCCTTGTCATGAAGGTGTCATGACTTAAGCAGCTGAAAGCATTGGTAAAACAGAATGTCCGTAGAGGGACTTTTGTTGAAAAGAGTAACAGCTCATTGTTTGACGGTTGACCAAATACAAAAATATTTAGTATTAGAATTGCATTAAGTAAAAAACGCGAAGAATCACGTAAAGGGATGCACGTTATTAAATCATCTTTCAGTATTGACTATCAACAAGTTCATGAGTTGAAATTTGAGTTTTGGGGAGTTTTTTTCATTTAAAGGAAAAAGTTTAATTAATTTCTAACTGCACTAAATAGAGTTCAAACACAGGAAACGATGCAAATATCCCGCGATATTTAGACAGTTGGTTACATTGTACTTGAAAGTCCCCTCACGTCGGCTACGATAGACAGTGTCAAAGGAGAAACGAAAATGGACTGTGCCATTGTTCTTAGTTCAAAGCCCTCTGCTTTACAGTCCTCCTTTCCATCAATGCGCAAAAAGTCAATATCATCGCCAAATTTAAATCAATTGATTATTCCCGATACTTGTCAAACGAATTGGTCAGTACTTTTATGAAACAGCCACAGTTAGTTTTCCTCTGGTTCGGGCCCCATTCACACCGGGGAGATTCCGTTCAGTTTTGAAAGTTTAATGTTTTGCAAACACATCGTTCTTAAAAGGCTCCATTTTTGAGAAAAAACAACGAAAGCGCAGACTTTTGAAAACGTTGATAAAAAAAAGTTTCATGTATTTTTTCTTCCATGAGAGTTTTTCGGTTGTTTTAAGTCTGGATGCATCCATTTGTAAGCGTTTCCAAGAGCAATAAAAACACCCGAGGCACAGGCGACCCAAGCTCCATATGTGAGATGATCAGCTTGCGCAATAACAGTCATGGCGGAATTATAAGAGTTTGTATGGGAATATTTACGACCGCTTTAAGGAATTAAAAAATAGGTCAAATTCTCAATAAAATACCTCACCTTACTTCCACGGCGTATTAATTGTTATCTGACCGCTTACTTTGATGAAAAGATCTCATTTTAACACCGCCTGTGCCCAAGGTAGCTAAAGAATATCATGTTTCATTTTGTTTGAATTGTAAACGGATATTTTCATAACATGCGACGTATTCTTTGAATCTATTAAAGGCACATAAATAGGACAATATTTGGATGTACTTAATATTTCGTTCAGTTTTTGAATATGTAAATATGTAAAAATTACCAATTTATGTCTAGAAATGCACGTAGTAACGAAAATGACAGATTTGACGAAATTTCGTCGAACCAGGTGAATGTTCGTGGATTGGACTATTTTCGCGAATTTTAGTCAAATTCGTGAAAGCGAAATCAGCTTGGCGGAATTGAGGATTTTGACGACTTCTCTTAGCGGAATTGAGGATTTTGACGCCTTCTCGCCAGCCATAACAATGCAAATTATCTCATCAGAGACAAACCTGACATGTTGGCGAATATGACGATTTCTACGAAATTGGGTAAATTTGGTCAGTAGATATTTCCCTCGTTATCAATGAATGTTGCCCTAGCCCCGTGCGAAAGGGAAAGCAGTATGTTTTCCTGGCTATCAGAGCCTGTTAGGCAATGTATACAAAATATATTTTGCTCGTTCTAACAGCGTGATAGCCGAGTGGAACGGAAAGCAATATATATTTCTCTTGTTCTAAAGCGTGTCGCCCGAGTGGAATGAAAAGCGACGATATATTTTCCTTGTTCTAAAACCGTGTTACCGGAGTGGAACAGAAAACAATATATATTTCCCTGACCTTCTAAATCGTGTTACCCGAGTGAAAGGGTAAAGCAATGTATATTTCCTTAGTTCAAAATATGCACAGGTATTACTGAGACACTTCCAAGGAATAAATGACATTTTAACACGAACAGGTTTTAATCATAAACCTTCACTGACTTCACTTTCGCCAAATTCGTCGTTTTTTTAGGGCCCTTCACGCCAGGTCATTTCAATTTGCTCGTATAATTTCGTCCACGACCTTAGCGAAATTTCATCACAATCATCAGTTTTGATAAAATTCCTACAGAACGACAAATTTCGTCAAATTCGTTAAAATCGTCAACAAAATTTCGTCAAATTTGCCATTTTTTGTTACTGCATGCATTTCGGGACATATCTTTAATTTATTGAAGAACGTCGAGAGAGCTGAAAAACGTCTGCCCGTCTTAAGAACTTTTGAAATAAAGAAACCTGGATTAAAAGTTAACCCTGAGTTAGTGCTAATCAGCCTTCGAGCAACTGGGCCCAGCTAATTAAACTTATCCTTGGGCAACTTCATCCGGGTAGATTGTAAGTTGTTATTTCTTGATTTTAAACTGTTGCGCCTTTTAATGCAAATTAACCACTTTCATTTCACATTAAATGTCAAGTAACGTCACGTAGACCTATTTAACTAGAAAAACTAACTTTCTATTTAATTTTGGTGTGCTGGTCGACTGTTTCCAGCTGGTTGATTATCAGTAACTTATATTGAGATGAAGAAGGGTGTCCACATCCATATGGCAATTAATTTTCTCAGCAAAACAAACACTGCAAGGAGTTCTTCTCTGACAGAAAAACCAAGGAAAAATAATGGTATCTCGATACCGCAAAGCAGTAAATACATAGATGTAGCTGGGTTCACAAATGGTAGGAACAAAAGACACATTGTTGAAACAATCATGCAAAAAATATACCTCTCAACTCGTTAAAGAAAAAAAAGTTGGTTTCACATCACTTTGTTCTCCCATGTAGGTTGAGAAAGGGCACATCTAAAAATTCACGTAAAAGATAAATTGCATCGCCTCGACTTTTGAACTTCTGTGGTTCCCCGTAGTTTTCGAATGTAAGAAAAAGATTAGCACAATTTCTGTTGTTAATGATGTTACAAAATGCAAATGCAAATCACCCAAAAGCGGTTGAAATGATCGCGAAAGAAAATTACGAACGATTTTAAAATTGCAAAGATTCACATTCATATTTATTTTAAAACAGTTTCAAAACTCTCAAAACTCCCCATTTAATTTAGCCATAAAAAATTCACCGTGCTTTTCTGACTGTGTTTCACCTATGTGTGCGTTTCAAAAAACAGAATTCAACTTTCAAGTTGAACTCACACATCCTTGGTGGGAAGTTTTAGAGTTTCAAAATTACATAGGAAAGTTTCAGTTAAAAAATCGCAAACAAGTCAAAAATACTAAAGAGATTTAAAAATGACTAACATTTTTTGATCTAGTTTGTTTCACAAAAGACGCATCACATACAACCAAATCTTGAAAGCCTTTTCTTTTTCATTTCCAGGTCGTTTTGTGCGCTACGCAAAGCTGTCGAAACTGAATGGCTAACAATATCAGCAACAATACTCATAAGGCCTCCGGCCAACAAGATTGGATTCGAATTCCTCCCTCAGAGTGTATTCCATGGGCAATTGTACTCACTGCTGAATGTCTGGCTATAGTCATCCTAAATATCATCACCATTATTGTATTTGTGAAGCAGCGCGAACAACGGCGCCGGAGTACATACTTGATCATCCATCTGGCGATAGTTGATGTCCTCGCCGGTGCAGCCTCTGGACCTCTTTTTATAGAACATAGAATAGCAGAGTATTGTCATCTGTGGAAGTTCGATTTCAATGGGAATCCGAAGTTACTTCACCTAAAATCTGTTTTTGGATTTTTTCCAGTTATCTCGCTTATCAATCTCGCTGTTATTTCCTTAGAAAGACTACACGCAACATTTTTTCCATTCAGGCATCTTTTAGTCAAGAAACAGGTATATATAATTGTGATCACTTTCATTTGGCTGACGATTGCAGGCATACAAGTACCAGAACAACTGCGTCTTCTAAGCGACTTCAACTATTATATTTTATATTTTTCGTACTTCGTTATTCCACTTTGTGTAATTTTGTTTTCTTATATTAGTATCTTTGTAAAGGTCCGTTACGGTGGTCATCCACAAAACCATGGTGCAGTTAGTCAGAGAGATAGAAAACTGACCCATACCCTCTTTCTCGTAACCCTCGCGTCGTTATTGACATGGTTTCCGGTGATGATATATCAATTTCTGCTTATTTTTGAAATCCAGTTAAATCTTTCTCGGCAGTCAGAGTTTCATATCGAGATGACGTGGCAAACCATCTACTTCGCAAACTCATTAATAAATCCGGTGATCTACGCCCAGCAGATGCCACGGTTTAGAACGACTTTATTACAACTATTCCACAGAAATGTAAGTCCCTCATACCCAGTCGAATTGCCGCTTCGTAATTTGTAAAGAAACTCGCAATACCTTCAATCATGTATCAAAAACTGCTTTTTAATAAAAGAACAGTGCATAACGATTGAAGAGGAAAGATGGGCAGACACAATGACACTGACTAAAATGTTTAAGATGATTTCCCAATACCTTTAGCCAGCTAAGATTTTATTCAGCGTTCTACTTTAAGTTGAAGAGAACGCTAAGCAGGATATAACTGTGATAATAATTATTATCGAATACACATCAAAAATCGTCATAAAATATTAAAATTTACTGTTTATACTTCATAGGGAGAAGTTAATAAAATCAGTTGATCACATCGCGTGATGAAGGCTGTGTCTTCGATTCGCATTAGAAGTGACTTCATCAGGAGGGCATAATTAGTTGCGAAAGGTTTTACGACGAGACAAATAGTGGCGGTTATAGTTTACCGGAAAGGATTAAGGGCGAGAATGTTTCCCAGGTAAATGAATATAGTGCTTTTTAGGATCTGCTCGATGTAATTGTCTTCAACTTTGAAAATTGTGGAGATACTGGTTCGGTGAGATCACCGGCTCAAAATTCATTTCAATAAGAAGTCAACCGATGTAAGCTGGTGCCAGCGCTTCTCGAGTAACTTGTGTACGTGATGAAAGGATGAAAAAGATGTCCACGTCTGCTCCTGTAAGGCCGAGGCGGGCATTTATTTAGTACCACAAAAAAAGGGGACACGTACACCAAGATATATTGATGTTTACAAAAAAAACAGGAAAATGAATAAAAACGTGATTGAAAATATTTCTTTTACAGGGGTTGTTACCGATTTTATCTTACGAGTCGCGACCCGTGAGAATGTTTCCCAGGTAAATGAATATGGTGCTTTTTAGGATCTGCTCGATGTAATTGTCTTCAACTTTGAGAATTATGGAGATACTGGTTCGGTGAGATCACCGGCTCAAAATTCATTTCAATAAGAAGTCAACCGATGTAAGCTGGTGCCAGCGCTTCTCGAGTAACTTGTGTACGTGATGAAAGGATGAAAAAGATGTCCACGTCTGCTCCTGTAAGGCCGAGGCGGGCATTTATTTAGTACCACAAAAAAAGGGGACACGTACACCAAGATATATTGATGTTTACAAAAAAAACAGGAAAATGAATAAAAACGTGATTGAAAATATTTCTTTTACAGGGGTTGTTACCGATTTTATCTTACGAGTCGCGACCGGTGACCCGCGACTACTAGGCAAACTCACGACACGTCATCGGTGATAGCAAGAAACACATTGACTCTTCGAAAACAACATCTCTCTTGGTTTGGACTAGGACATTAGTTGAGAGAGGAACGCAAACAGACGGGCTAAAAATGGCAAGCAACTTGGCGCATTTCGGTTGCGGTTAACCATGGTTGTTAGGGATACGGCAATAGAAAGAGAGTGCTCTTTTGCATGCCATTTTTTGCACATTCTATTTTTTTTTTCGCGATGAAAAAATGTTCGATGCTCGTCTCCCCCAACTGAATGCCTAGAACTTGAAGAAAAAAGGATAATAAAGGGCAAAAATAACAAATAAAGAAAGAAAAAAGGGGAAAAAGGAAGAAAAAAAGTTTTTAAAAAATTATTGAAGAGGTACTTCCTTAGAGTTTCAACCCTTTCAATTCATTTTTTTTTGTGTGATTTAATCGGCCTAGAAATTTTGTTTTTGAAAAGCTGCCTTAAAGTTAACGGCCTGGCTGTATTTTCCATTCATATCAATTAATATTTTCATACATCCTACAGGATTTCAGGGTTACTTATTTCCCAGAGCGGAAAGATAATTCTTCACGCGGCAAATTAGCAACTCAAACTTGCAAAATAATAAGAGAAATTTTAAGAACGGAAACGACATTTCTATAACATTTAAGAAGTTTCACATTGAAAAAGAAGAGTACTTAACACTTAGTGCCATCATTTTTTCGATTGTTTTGAACTTTAAAATTAAACTTAATGAAACAATCCTAAAACTAACTAAATACGATTAAAAGTTCAACTTCAGTAGAGCATTACGCATTTCAATTTAAACAAGAAGGCTGAGCTATCTGCACCGAGCCCATTCTGTGGAATTTGAAGTCGCTCCACTGAAACGAATTTCCCGTCCCTGTCAGGCACGATTTGGACATGCGCCTGATTTCTTGGTCTGAAATCACGCGATTCCAGATATTGACATCTGCCATTTCACCAATGAAACTTTCACGTTCTTGAAAGCCTCCTCCCAATTTGTCTTGATCCTGTCCAAGTACAAGGTGTCCACCTCCGCGGATCCATCGGCCTGTAATTAAGAGCAAGAATATGTCTCCATTCCTTCGCTAGTCGTGCTTTTAAACCAATTTGTGGAAAAGTAGTCGTTGTTTTTTTTTTGGTGTAAGTTTTTTTAAAGGTATTTTAGTAATACCAGAACAAACAATTTAAATAAAGTTTAGTAAGCGAAACGTTTAATCTGAAATTTTTCATATTTTTTGTTAAAATACTCGACCTGCCTGGCGGCAAAATTTTGTGAATTAGTTTGATGTTCGATATTTTCTGAGTACAACTTACCTTTTGCTAATCCTCTACCACTAGCCCCCAAATAACCATCCTTGATCAATTTCCACGATCCAGCGGTATTCTCCCATGCTGCGCAGATGTGATGCCACTTTCCATCGTTGGCAGATACACGGGTGTAACCACTATAATGAACATTGAAAGGATTTAAAGTTTTTCCTTAATAATCCATTTTGAAAAGGTTAAACGATTAATAAAGTAGTTGAAGATAATTGGTGTGATAGATTTTGAGTCTGGTGCGATAATTATTGAACCTGTATCCCTCTTCTATCTCTTTCTGCACGTAGAGAGGTGAAATGCTAAAATATCATCAAGCTCTGTCTGCAAGGCATTTGATACCATTTTCATGAGATGGTTTATTGTTAACCTCTCATAATTCTAAACCTCTCATGATTCTAAAACTCTCAAATTTCACTCGAAAGTCTATTCAGCCCATCAATTTGAGAAAATTTGATTGAAAAAAAGGCAACTGATGATCGTACGTTCACACCTCTCCCTTTATTCACTCATTACCACAAATGTTCAGACGTGATATAATTAGAGAAAGAAAAACGCACAACGCCGAGAGTTTTCAACCATCGGCTTTGTCCAATAGTGCTTTATTTTATGGATGATAAGTGTAAGGAAATAGCATTCAGGGCTCCGCCATTAGGATTAGCCAAATATGGTTCATTAAATAGCTCTGACAACATTTACTATTGCTGATTCACGATTCAAATAGTACAGGACGGGTTCTGCACATCATGCGCAGTTTATCGTTCCTATTCCCCAATGAAACCGTATTCTCGTACCTCCCAACTGATCGCACACCGAACCCAAAATCTCCGGGCCTTAATAACAACAGTTCGTTATCCGTTCCACTCACAGCATAGCTGAGAAGTGCTCCATTACTTCCTGTAGCATTAGTCTTTATCCACATACAAACTGTCACAGCTGTAAGGCTTGGCATTCCATGCGTGATGATTACGTAATCATTTTTACTCTTATATGGAAATAACAAAGAGTAGTTCGGGCTGACTGAAATCAAACGAAAGGAAATTTAGTGAGGAAATCGAGTTTTTATAACCATCTTAACGGAATGTTCTACCCACTAGAAAAGTCTGAAGCTCTTCCCTTTAAGAATGAATAGTAACATATCACAGAATCAAGAATATTCCTTGTTACATCTAACATTCCAAGTGATTTCAAGACAAATTCTACTAAAACTTGACACCCCATAAAGCTACGACAATTATAATTCTAACAAGACGAGCGCAACTAATTTTTCAAAACACTAGACAATTTATCCGGTTAATATTACATGCACTTTGCAATTATTTCCAGGGCAACTTCAACGACGCTTCATCAAGGAACGAAACATCCACAAAAGTAATAAAATTGCATATTCGATCTACAACGGGACTCGTAGTTTTTCAGTGATCCTGCAATACATAACAGATATGTCCGGAAGCATCTTGCGAATCACAACCCCACAACGTCCGAAAAACCAACAAACTGATGATTGCCTTTTGACATTCACCGACTAAAGGTAGATACACACAAGCGAGATTAGGGATTCCAGTTTCTGGGCTTCCTGTAACATCAGAGAGGTTTGCAGGTACTTCAACGGAAAACTGACTGAACATAAACAAGCGATGATGTTAAAAATCAAATAGCTGAACGTCATCAACCTACAAACAACGCTATTGACTGGGACTTTGCCCAGTGCTTCATCTACATCTACATCTACATCTACACCTACATTCATCTACATCTACATCTTCATCCTTAGATGATCTAACTACTTTTAATGACATACTTCGTCTCCGGTTTTTATTAAGGCTAATAAAAATTTTTCAGGACTAACCTTACCCGAAAGACACTCTAAATAATCATCGAGTGAAACTCTTACCAAATTCACAAGTTGGCTGCACTCCCGTCCATGAACCGTTGTTCAGGCAGAGACGCTCTGAGGGTCCATTTAACCAGTAACTACGGTTACAACTGAATGAAATAAACTCCCCCGTGCAGTTTTTGTGACTGTGTGAAAAACCATTCTTCGGGTTTTTCAACAAAGGACAAAATTTCCTGACTGATAAATAGATACATGTAAATACATAGACGCATGAATATAAATATGTCGATATAGATTAATAAAGAAAACATAAATCTCTTGAGAAATGTTGCTAAGTTTCTCATCTCTGATTGTACCATGCTTATTTTTACATCATAATAGTTGATAGGCTAGCTAGGGTGATGCGAGTTTGCATAGAGCGGTAAAGCGAAATCAGGCAATCCTACATTGCTTACAACACACAAGTGAAAATTATTTAAAAGACGCATACCTGGCATAGCCGATGCCTTTATCGTTTTAGATGTGTTGTTAAATTGCAAAGAGAGCTCTTCGATTGACTTAATCACGACATCCAGTTTCCTTACGACACTTTTGTTAAACGAGTAAGGACTTGTGTACCACGCCTCGATTGTCTTGTTAATGAGAGCCAGTCTTCCTGAAGAAATTGAGACATAAACAAAGATCTTTCAATAACAAATGTGTAGGACAAAAAACATATTGATTCATGGTGTGAATTCGAAATGTCAAAAAAGAAAGTTTTTCAAACAAATTTCGATTCTTACGGAATCAAAATGAATTTCGTGGGATATTGATCAAATGAAGCCTTTAAGTGCTACTGTGGTTCTTTCTTTATTTATTTACTCCGAGCTTTCGCCGTTCTACGGCATCATCCCTGATGATGCCGTAGAACGGCGAAAGCTCGGAGTAAATAAAGAAAGAAAGAACCACAGTAGCACTTAAAGGCTTCATTTGATCAATATCCCACATCATTACGACATGCTACTAAAGGACACGTTCAAACGTTTAGTTAAAATGAATTTCACAATGAGATTACCGCTGTTTCCAAGTATCATTTCCAAGTTACACTGCCCTGCGTGATTGTAATTTTCACATAATTTACAAAGTGGTATTGAAGGTTATCTGTGTAAGGAAAAGATATCTGGGATTTTCCATGAACTGAGAATTTGACACGCAAGTATATTTAAATGAAATAAAATCGAACTGTCAAATAAATCTTTTACACTTTTGAAAGTCTACTTTCAGGAAACAATGTCGGTGTTGATAGAAGGTTTGTGTGGAATACATTCGAAGAAATGAAGCCAAAGATCACCAAGTCATTCGCAAGCAAAGGTTAGATGCGATCGGATTGCGTTACATCACATCCTTGAACATACTTTAGATGCGTACTTTCCACTTGCATATTGGTAAAATTTTCGCGCTTCAAATTGGCGTTTTACATCGTTTTTATATGACCTCTTTTCTGTGGAACCTGTCTTACGTGGCCCCCCCCCCCTTCAGCCATTCTTCGTAGGTGACCACCTAATACAGGTTTAACTGCGTAGGAAAATGATGTCACAAGGGAGGATTGGTAACTCAACGTGAACAGCCACAAGTAGGAGAAATGTTCATCATTGAGTCAGACTTGTTTTTCGTTTTGCATCTTCTTGTTTGAGAGAGAGGCCCAAGATTCCTTCATAGACCAATCACAAACCGCAGTAAAGCAAAGCAATACAACCCAAGTTGAAAATCAATATAAATATGCATACCTTTCATTTCCAAAGCAGTCGTCCTTTCAGACATGTTCATAACATTCACGTTTACTAAATCCAGTTTTCTTTCCATATTTGTGCCCAGGGAGTCGAAGCGTTTGGACAAAGCTTCAATGGCTTTGAACATTGAGTCCTGGTTATCTGTAGATAATCGCGACGAAAAAAATACAGGTTTAACTGTGTAGGAAAATGATGTCACAAGGGAGGATTGGTAACTCAACGTGAACAGCCACAAGTAGGAGAAATGTTCATCATTGAGTCAGACTTGTCTTTCGTTTTGCATCTTCTTGTTTGAGAGAGAGGCCCAAGATTCCTTCATAGACCAATCACAAACCGCAGTAAAGCAAAGCAATACAACCCAAGTTGAAAATCAATATAAATATGCATACCTTTCATTTCCAAAGCAGTCGTCCTTTCAGACATGTTCATAACATTCACGTTTACTAAATCCAGTTTTCTTTCCATATTTGTGCCCAGGGAGTCGAAGCGTTTGGACAAAGCTTCAATGGCTTTGAACATTGAGTCCTGGTTATCTGTAGATAATCGCGACGAAAAAAATACAGGTTTAACTGCGTAGGAAAATGATGTCACAAGGGAGGATTGGTAACTCAAAGTGAACAGCCACAAGTAGGAGAAATGTTCATCATTGAGTCAGACTTGTTTTTCGTTTTGCATCTTCTTGTTTGAGAGAGAGGCCCAAGATTCCTTCATAGACCAATCACAAACCGCAGTAAAGCAAAGCAATACAACCCAAGTTGAAAATCAATGTAAATATGCATACCTTTCATTTCCAAAGCAGTCGTCCTTTCAGACATGTTCATAACATTCGCGTTTACTAAATCCAGTTTTCTTTCCATATTTGTGCCCAGGGAGTCGAAGCGTTTGGACAAAGCTTCAATGGCTTTGAACATTGAGTCCTGGTTATCTGTAGATAATCGCGACGAAAAAAAGCTAAAATGGCTGATTACACGTAGGTTGTACAAAGAAAAATTGTGAAATTCAACCATCAAACCTTGTAGAAAAGGCTTCCGTTTCACTGCCTTCAGTTTCTTCAAAGACGTTAAATGAGCAGTGAAATAAGAGTGCAGATGCACACGCATACACACCACTTAAAGTGCATACCTTGTATTTCCAAAGCAGTTGTCCTCTGAGATGCGTTCTTAACATATGCATTTACTAAATCCAGTTTTCTTCCCATATTTACGTCCAGTGAGTCAAGACGTTTGGACAATGCTTCAAAAGCTTTGTACATTGAGTCCATCTTTTCTGTAGACAATCATGACAAATAGAAAAGGATTTTAAGACAAGCGATTACCCATTTAAGTGCCAAAGACAAAGGACAAACTGGGTTTCCCGGTGAGGATTCTAGCTCATCCTATTGCAGCCCAAATACTCCAGCAGCTGTAATGCAAACATTAAAGTTCTGTAAAGTTTTGTCAAATTATCCAGTTTTCCCAAAGACGAGTTAACACATCTGACCTAAAACTGATTTCTTAAAACAAGGAAGGCTGGTTTACCAACTTAGAGCAGGCACATCTATATAGATGACAACAACGACCTCCACACCAGCTATGACCTTTTCACCAATCAAAACCTCATTAAAGAAACACCACTACAAGTTCTAAATATACATACCTTTCATTTCCAAGACCGTTGTCCTTTGAGATGTGTTCGTGACATTCAAATTTACGAGATCCTCTCCGATTTGTTTGTCTTGCCAGTCAAGGCGTTTGGACAAAGCTTCAATGGCTTCGTTTATTGAGCCCAGTTTTTCTAGAGACAGCCATGATAAAGAAAGGTGTTAAAAGAACTGATTGTTTACGAAAGAGGGACAAGGTGCTGGGTAATGATTTGAGCCCTTGAACAAACCAGACGTTTTATTGACTGAAATAAAATAGCTAAGCCTCACTGAAAAAGTTCAACATTCTCTGCATTTGAGGGCTGGCTCTTTTCCTTAATGAGGCCGCTTTTCACGGCAAAGGGGGGGGGGGAGGGGGGGGTTGGTAGCGGATGTGTTGCATTGACTGATGCATGATAGTTGCGCAAGAACCGCATTAATTGGCGCGGGAATGCCCAAGTGAGTCAAAGAAGAGAAAATGCAGGTCATCAGCAAGACGTTTCAATCGCAAGAAGCTTAAAAATTCCTTTCCATAAGAAGCTGCAAGGGGTAATTAATGCAACTGTGAACTACCAACAGCGATGAGAAGTTGTTTTGCAACATTTTAGTAACTTCCCAACTAATG